GCCGAAAAATCAAACAGCCTTAGCAACAGCCAGTAAGCAAAGTCAGCAGTGAAGAAGGGGAAGGAGATGACAGCAAGCAAGACTGCAATGCAGAGCTTCCTCGGCGGATATTGACATGAGCAGCAGAAGAGCTTAGCAAAGAGGGCTAAACCAGAAAGAATTAGGATAAGCACCGACAAGAGGTAGCTGAAGACAAAGGCAATTAGCATCAGTGGGGAGAAATAGAGGGTCACAGTGAGCAAGAGGGCAAGGGCCCAGAGCAGGGCACACAGGAGTGCTGGCAAGCACCAGGAGCTCTGGCAAGGGCAGAGGGGCTGTGGGAGGGCAGGCAGGCAGGTCCTGGCACCCAGGGCTGCCGTGAGGTAGACACCGGAGATGAAAGCAAAGGTGATGGCCATGTTCAACACTGTCATCACGTCCTGTGAGCCCAGACTGTGACAAAAGCTCTGTGGGCCATAAAATATTATGAGGGCAATGATGATGGAGAACAGGAAGGTGAAGTCGGCCACGGCCAGGTTGAAGATGTAGATGGTGATGAAGTTCCTGCGGACGCGGGTTCTGAGTAGCCAGAGGATGGCCCCATTGCCCACCAGCCCAGAGAGGCAGATGAGCACTGTGACAGGGACTGTGCTCAAAGCACTGGCTTCACAGTGGGTCCAGTCATAGTCGTCCTCATAGGAGCCAGCTTGCCTCAGCAGCCCGTGGTGCCAAGCTCTGCTGTAAGCTATCGTGCTGGGCTGGCTCCAGCAAGCAGGGCTGGCTCTTCCTGCGGTGGGGAGCGGCATGCTCATTGTGAAACCGTGCTGCTCCAGCTTCCTCTCACACAGCTGGAGGGATGAGAGACAGAGGTGTGTTAGAAAATCTGATGACCCCCTGTAGAAGGATTTTCAGCTCGTTGTAACTGTGCCCTACCTTTCACATGGAGGAGCACAAAGAGAAATGAGAGACAGAAGGGGCGGAAGGGGGTTGAGAGGAGCTGATATGACATTCCTTGCACAGGAGTGCATATGAGGCGAGGAGTGAAAGCAAGGGAGATGCCTTCTTCCTAGCTCTGGATGAGACAGGTCTGAAGGAGGGCAATAACAAGATGATGGGATTGTCCCTGGAGATGTCAAAGAGAGAGGGGGTTTGGGGGTGGATCTGATATGGACTCTCAGGTGCATGATGTTACAATTGATAATACTCAGTTGCTGGGTTCCTTCAGTAAGTCAACCATGTCTGTATTCCCCTACCACCTTTTACCACCAGATTTGTAGCTCCCAATATCCTTCTCCATTCACAAATGATGCAAATTGATCAACCTATTCAAAACCAACGAAGGGAGACACTGATTAGGCTGAAAAAAGTAATCCAGAGAAGTCTGACCTTTCCTGTCGCAGCCTGGAGATCTTCACAGGAGCAGATGTGCTGCAGACTCAGATCATCTTGCCAGCTGTTACACCCACAATGGGATCTTCACACGAGGTTTCCCCAAACTCTCATTTGGAAACTGGACACAAGCACGTCCTGGAGAGCCTGTGCAGCACCCATCAGCATTTTTCTTAGGTCCTTCCACAAAGCATATTTGTCACATTCTCAGGGATTCTCAAAAAAAAGGATAAAAAAGAAAACTATTTCATTGTATTTAATGGCATCAGGGTTCTGGTAATAATCGTCATACAGGAAATGACTAATAGATCTCAGAAGCCAGACCTATGGGAAAAGCGGATTGTCTCTCCATCAGGTTCCTCTTTCATTTCACTTTAAAGCAACCCTGTTCCTAAAATGGCCATATCTTTGAACTGGAGGAGCCTGTTCAGGAGGTGATCTTTAGGATCCTGTGCTACAATCTTGGCATTGCTGCAGAACTTCTGTCTGATTCCAAACTAGGTGTGCCACAACTTCACAGTGACATTTGGCACTTCCCAACAGCATTCTGCTGTGTGCACAGGAGCTAACCAAAGCTTCCCAGGACAGCAAAGTTCAGTGAGATGAGCCCTGCTCAGGATGGCTGCAATGCCTGTGAAATTCAGAGAGTTCCTGCTGCACTGGAGAGCGTGCATGGCTTTCTGCTGACATCTCTCCCTCTCTCCCTCCTGGGTGCTGCCTTTGCCTCCCCAGCTACAGAACTCCCTTGCCAAGTAGATCCTTTCAAGTGCAAGCAGATGATCAGAAGGCAGGCTCCAAGGAAAGCCTGCATAATGCTGTGCACATCCTGCTCACTGCCCTATATACACACGTGTTCTGCCAAAGAGCAGACTGTCAGCCTTTCTGTCTGTCTGTCCTCCGTCCAGCTGACACAGTGCTGATCACAGGCACTTGTTTCTTTGCCTGTCCCCTCTTGCCTCCCCAGATAAACCCTGTGACAGTATAAAGATTTGGTTGCTGAATGATGCTGCCAGCTCTGGTCAGGCTGAGGGAGATGGGCATCCTCTGCCAGTGGTGCAGGCAGACACCAAGCCAGATGGAGCTGAAAATGTCCCTTATGTCCCTCTCCGTCCTTTCCTCTGGAATTGTGGGGATGAAGGCAGCGGATGCTCTGCTTCTGTAGTTCCTAACCAGCACGTAAAGAGCTGAATTGATGCTGCTGTTGATGGAGGCCAGCAGCAGGCAGATGTCAAATATGAAATCAGTGTAGACAAAGAAGTTGAGGAAGAAGTGTACACGAAGTGGGATGGCAAAGAGTAGGAGGAAGAAAACAGTGAGGAAGATCACAGAATAGAATCATAGAATAGCTTGGGTTAGAAGGGACCTCAAAGATCATCTTGTTCTAACTTCCATGATAGGTCAGGGTGAAAGCTGAGAAGCCAAAGGATGGCCCACACAGGCTGAAGAGCAGTGTGATGCTAGCGGTGACATTTGGGGAAAATGGGCTGGAATGCATCTGATTCCATTGGATCCCAATGTATCCATCCCCACAGTCCCTGTAAGTGGTGAGGCCGTGGTGTTAGGATGTGGGTCCCTCCTACTCTTGCAGTCTCCTCATCTGGGGAAAGGGAAGAGATGAAAGGGAAAGCAGTGACTCCCAGTGCTGTGCTCCTCTGGTTATTCAGTCTGTGGGGTTGTGGGGTCTTCAAAAGCCACCAAAACCTGGGCCTGAGCCCCTGCCCTGGCTGGCCCTGCTGGGACAGGAGCTGGGGCAGGTGACCTAGAGGTGTCTCTAGCCTCAGCTGGAGATTCTGTGATCCTTCTCCTCACTGCTCCACATCCCCAAGGTTCACTGAGGGTCCCCTCCCTATGAACATCCCAAGAGAAGGACCAAGAATGAGGTGCCTGCGCCCCTGCAGGGCTGGTGGGAAAGGCTTGGTGGAGTCACTGTCCCTGGAGGTATTCAAGAAGTGTGGAAATGTGGCACAGAGGGACATGGTGTAGTGGCTATGGCAGGGATGGGTTGGGGTTGGACCTGGGGATGGCAGTGGTCTTTTCTGGCCATAGTAATTCTATGATTCTATGAGTTGTGGGGATGGGTTAACAATTGGATATGATGACCTTAGAGGTCTTTTCCAGCATTAATGGTTCTATGATTCCATGATTATATGTCTACCCTGTAGGACTCCAGGTTTGCTTTGCTTCCTTGTTTATAGCAACATGTCCCTGCATCAGAAAGCTCCCAGCCCAGCAGTACCATCGGGCACCTTTCCTTGGACAACCCCACCTTCACGCCTCTGCTAAGAGGCTGACAGCAAGCCCAGGGAGAAACAAAGAGCAGAAAGCAAAGCTGGAGTCTGATGTTTACCGTCTCTTCTACATCCAGAGCCAGCTGGACAAAACTCCAAATCACAGGAACTTATGAATGAACTGAATTTAATTAATCCAAATTCCTCTTGCTGCAATATCCGGTGCACTCTGGGGGTGGTTTCTGCAGGACCTCCGTCACTCGCACTCCTCCACCTGCAGCAACACCTGGTTGAGAACATCTCACTGTGAGAATCCGGGACGAAGCTCTGAAGGATTCCAGCAGAGCCATAGCAAGCAGAGACCCTTTCCCCTCGGGCTGCTTAGGTAGCCCAAGTGAAGTTCAAGGATCTTCATGCAGAGCTCTGCTTTGGCTATGTGAGCAGCTGTGCTGCCAAATCTCGCAACAGTCTCTGTTGCTGTCTCTGAATCTCTCATATCCCTACCCAGATGTTCCTCCCCTGACCACAAGCCCCTCCACCCCGCCCGCTCCCAATTCCCCTCAGCACATTCCCAGACCCATCTTGGCCGTGGAGGAGCACACAGAGCACAGCGGTGCCAGCAAGAGGCTGGAGGCTTTTCCATGTGCCTGATTCTGGTTTGCTTTATGAGGGCAAAAATGGACATCTGGAGGAAAGCTCCATGTTGGCTGCAAAACCTTACCAATTCCCCTGAGAATTCCCCTTTTCCAAAAGGGAAAAGTTAAATGCCTACAAGATAAAATGCGCTTCCTCCAGCCTACAGCAAAACTTCTTGTGCCTCCAGCTGTCTGAAATTAAGCTCCAGAAATCCTGTCCCTTTTTGTTTTCTTTCAAGAAAAGTCTATGCAGAGAATTCCAACAGAGCACAGCACCAGAGAAGGCATTCTTCTGAGTACCTGTGTCATTAAGGGGCACTATCAACAACCAATGGGATCTGTGAAGTGCTGCTTGGTTGCTGTCAATTGTTAGTGTCTGAATTAGACCAACAACAAACGGTCATTCTTGGTTCCCCTCTGGTGGTGTATTTCTGCAGAGATATTTTCCAACAATCCTCCTGCTCTTCCCAGAAGACCTTCTAAGAAGTGCTCCACCACCCTGCCAGACTCACAGGCGTCACCATCACTGCCAGCATCACCAACATTGCCAGCATCACAGCAGTAACAGCCCTATGAGGAATAGTGAAATGTGAAGCAGAAGGAAGGGTCTCATAGCTGTCAGTCACAGTGCAGAAAGAAGTGCCTTGAATCAGAAATTCCTGAGGAGCAATTAACAAATGCCTGCTTTCATGGTTTCTGGCAAAAGCCACTTCCTTTGTGGGAAGACAAAAAGGAAAAAAAAAAAAAGGCCAAGATAAATAAAAACAAGGAAGCAGAGCTCTGACACAGTGGTGATTACAAAACGTTTCTTGACACTGTCGGGACTCCACTGTGGCTGGGGGAGCTGGTGTGCATGGCACAGGGGAGCCAAGGTGAACAGCCAAGGAGAAACCAGAGACATTCAAGGGACTGGGGAACGTTCTTCATTGTACGAGTGGCCTGAGGGGATCTGCTTCAGGATACGGCTCCAAAGGGCGCATGAGATGCTGAGACTGACACCAGTCTGCCCAAGCATGGATGGAAAGGCAGCCCTACGCAGCAGCTTCATAAAACTTACAGTTAAGTGCAATGTTTTCCCTCATCCTTTCCCATTCTCCTTTGCTCGCTCCCCCCCTGCTCTCTCAGGGACCACAAGAACTTCAGGGCTCTTCCTCTGCATTGCAGCAGCCCCTGGCAGTGCCCTGCCCTCTCTCTTCTCTGTGCCTCTGCTCTTCTCCCCACCCATCTCTCAGGGTCCCACTGTTGCCCTGCTCTGCCCACAGCCGGGACCACCTCATGCCATGGAACCCAGCCACGCCACCCCATCCCCTGCATTGCCGACGGCTGCTGGAGAGAACACGTGTGAGATGGATGTCTTTGATGCAGCTGTGGATGGGGCCACGCTGCTCATCAGCCTGTGTGGCCTGGTGGGTAACGGGGCCGTCTTCTGGTTGCTCAGCTGCCGCATCCGCAGGAACCCCGTCACCGTCTATGTCCTCAACCTGGCCATGGCCGACTTCACCTTCCTGCTCTTCATGCTCACCTACACCCTCCTCAACCTCCTGAAAGACCTCTCCTGCTCCACGCTGCCCATCTTAGTGAAGCACCTCGTATCACTCCTCCTGCTCTCGCTACTTGCCCACAACATGGGCATGTATCTGCTGGCGGCCATCAGCATCGAGAGGTGTGTGTCTGCCTTCTGCTCCGGCAGGACCCACTGCCACCGTCCCCAGCACCTGTCAGCCGTGGCGTGTGCCCTGCTCTGGGTCCTCTCCATCACTGTCATTGCTGTGGTGACATCCCTGTGCCTGTCCCACCAGCAAGAGCAGTGCCGCCTGGCACTCATCGCCATGTACATCCTCAACTTCCTCCTTTTTGCCCCATCCATGGTCATTTCCAACATGATCCTGCTCATTAAGGTGCTGTGCAGCACCAGGCAGCGCCAGCACAGGAGGCTCTGCATCGTCATATTTCTCACAGTCCTCTTCTTCCTCCTCTTTGGAGTTCCCCTCAGCGTGTGGAATTTCATGCAGCATTTCAGCTCAGACCCACTTGGGCATCACCAGGTGGTTTTCCTGCTCGCCTGCATCAACAGCAGCATCAACCCCTTCATCTATGTGTTGGTGGGTAGCGGCAGGAGGCACTGCTCTTTGGCATCCCTCCAGATTGCCTTCCAGAGGGTCTTTGAGGAGCTGGGTGATGATGGTGTGGGCAGCAACAACTCCATGATGCGCACGCTGAGCTCAGCCCCTTGAAGCCTTTCCACTGCTTTACATTAGGAGAATTCTGGGGGGTGAGGGGGTGGGGTTGGTGTTCCTGGGGAGCACGGTCAATAAATGTCTGCATTGTATCCTGGTATATCACTCTCTCGCTGCACCCTCGGGTGCGTGATAGTGCAGCCGCGATGTCCCTGAGGCGCTACTCCCAGCCTCTCTGCTTTTTGGGAAGGACTGACCCACATGCAAGAGGATGAAACACATTCAGTGTTCTAAGCCCCCGTCCCCCAACCCCTGGGCAGCCCTTCCCCAGCCGTGCCTCCTCCTGCTGACAGCAGACACCATGTGCACACCCCAGCCCATTTGTGGTGCCAGCCACCCGCGTGCCTGTCCCCACTCCACTGACCAGAGAACCCCAACCCGCCCTCCACCCCCAGCCATGCAGAAGAATGAGAGTCAGTGGCAGAGCAGCAGCTTTATTGGGGGGGGAAGACCCGGAGATGCCCGCAGCGGAGTGGAGCCCGGAGGCGGCAGATACTCCGCAAAGAGCTGCGAAGCGGTCGGTATTCCTCGGGACTGCAGCAGCAACTGGAGGGCAGCAGCGTTCTACACTTTCCACGCTGGAGGGCAGCAGAGCCCCGCGCTCCTCATCGGTCGGGGCTGGAGAACGCGGGGACGGAACGGGACCGGAGTGGGGATGTGGAAGGGGTGGGGTGGACTGCGGTGGGAGTGAGGGTGGGGATGGGATGGGAATTAGACCGGGATGGGGAAGGGGAAGAGGATGAGGATGGGATGGGATGGAACGTGGATCAGGATGGGGCAGAGTAGGACAGGAATTGGGATGGGTACTAGTAGGGCTGCGGGGTGGGATGTGGATGAGGATGGAAATTGGATGAGGATGGCAATGGATGAGGATGGAATGAGATGAGGGTGAAGATAGGAACAGGATAGGGAATGGGGTGGGGAAGGGTGGGATAGCAGGGAAGGAACGGGTATTGGGATGGAGATGGGAACTGGGAGAGGAGGGAATGGGACAGTACAAGACAGCATGGGGAACAAGAATGGGGTGGAGATGGGGATGAAGATGAGGACAGACATGGGGGCAGGTCAAGGACAGGGACTGAGACAGGGATAGGAATGGGATGAGACAGGGATGGGAAGGGGGAACATTTGGGGATGGAATGCAGACAAACAGGAGTGGAATGGGAAAGGGATAGGGGTAAAATAATGACCATGCAAAGACACATCCTGATATGCAGCCACGGGAGGGTGACCGCAGGCCTGCCCATGTGAGTGTGGGCATGCAGCTAGGATGGGGGCTGTGGCCAGCACAATCACAGTGGGCTCTCAGGCGGAGATCACAGTGACCCCGGTCTCCTCGAAGACCCTCTGGAAGGCAACCTGGAGGGATGCCAAAGAGCAGTGCCTCCTACTGCCACCCACCAGCAAATAGATGAAGGGGTTGATGCCGCTGTTGATGCAGGCGAGCAGGAAAACCACCTGGTGATGCCCAAGTGGGTCTGAGCTGAAATGCTGCATGAAATTCCACACGCTGAGGGGGACTCCAAAGAGGAGGAAGAAGAGGACTGTGAGAAATATGACGATGCAGAGCCTCCTGTGCTGGCGCTGCCTGGTGCTGCACAGCACCTTAATGAGCAGGATCATGTTGGAAATGACCATGGATGGGGCAAAAAGGAGGAAGTTGAGGATGTACATGGCGATGAGTGCCAGGCGGCACTGCTCTTGCTGGTGGGACAGGCACAGGGATGTCACCACAGCAATGACAGTGATGGAGAGGACCCAGAGCAGGGCACACACCACGGCTGACAGGTGCTGGGGACGGTGGCAGTGGGTCCTGCCGGAGCAGAAGGCAGACACACACCTCTCGATGCTGATGGCCGCCAGCAGATACATGCCCATGTTGTGGGCAAGTAGCGAGAGCAGGAGGAGTGATACGAGGTGCTTCACTAAGATGGGCAGCGTGGAGCAGGAGAGGTCTTTCAGGAGGTTGAGGAGGGTGTAGGTGAGCATGAAGAGCAGGAAGGTGAAGTCGGCCATGGCCAGGTTGAGGACATAGACGGTGACGGGGTTCCTGCGGATGCGGCAGCTGAGCAACCAGAAGACGGCCCCGTTACCCACCAGGCCACACAGGCTGATGAGCAGCGTGGCCCCATCCACAGCTGCATCAAAGACGTCCATCTCACACGTGTTCTCTCCAGCAGCCATCGGCAATGCAGGGGACGGGGTGGCGTGGCTGGGTTCCATGGCATGAGGTGGTCCCGGCTGTGGGCAGAGCAGGGCAACAGTGGGAAGGGGCAGCAAGCAGGGTGGGAGCACTGTGGAGGGCAGTGGGGAGCGGGGGGAGCTGCAGGCAGTCTGTGGGCACAAGGCAAGGTGTGGGTTTGCCCCATCCCTACCTTTCCAGGCAGCAGCCTGGGGCCGGTCCTGGCAGGGCTTTTTCGTCTCGATGAGGAGATCTTGGGTCTCCGGGTCCCCACAAGGCTCCCTCTGGATGATAGCTGCTCTCTGGGTACCGCTGCAGGACCGAGTCAGCTTCCAAGGAGTGCTGGGCAACCCAGCAACAGCAGCTGCAGCACCAAGCCTCTGCACTCAACAAATTTCTGTTGGTCTTGACAGAAATGTTTTGTCTGGGAGAATACCCCTGAGGACAAATACTGCAGCAGCTTCATCTTGCTGTGAAAGAATCTCCATGCTTTTAGAATTCAACCTGATATCTCTTTAAAGTGGCAATTACCACCTTCCTAATTGTTTTATTGCACTGCCATCTCCTCCCCTACTCTTCCCAATGTGTTGGCATCCTTCTGAGATTGTTCATTACTGTCTGCATTTGCCTGCAGCTCACAGGCATGGCACCCCATTGTCACAGGGACGGGGGAACTTTGTTTTGGGTCCAGAACAGGGACAAGGGGACACCATGGGAAGCATCTCCTTCCCCAGGGGGTGCCCAGGTGCTGAGCACCTCCTGACCCCAAACCCCTCAGCAGTAGGACAGAGCCATGGGTGGCACTGGGGAGCACTGGGGCAGAGACATAGCTCCCCAGTGCATCACTGGCTGTGACACAGGGTGGCACTGGCAGGGCCGTGAGTCACTCCCTCCCTCCGCCCTGGACTTTGCCTCTTGCGGATGCTCTGGGCAATAAATCTGGGAGCAGGGAGGGAGTGGGAGAGGGGTGAGGGCCGGGCGCAGTGTTCTGGGCAGCCCTGTGCCTGTCCTCACATCCCAGCCCACAGCGTCCCATGCAGCCGCTGCCTGAGAGTCAGAGCTCGGCCCTGGGGCCCCCTGAGCCCACGGTCGCTGAGATCAAAGCCGTTGTGGTCGGGGATGGGGGCTGTGGGAAGACATCTCTGCTGATGGTCTTTGCTAGAGGGGACTTCCCCAAGGTGAGGGGCCTAAAGCCCGCCAGCGGCACCAGGATGGGGACTCCAGCCCCGAGGACCTGCCCGTGCCATCTCCTGTCCCCGCCAGGTCTACGTCCCCACAGTGTTCGAGAAGTACACAGCCTCCTTCCGGATCAGAGGCAAGCCTGCCAAGATCCACCTGTGGGACACAGCAGGTGGGACCAGAGGGACTGCCCCACGCTCAGGGTGTCCCCAGCTGGCACCCCCTGGGCTGGGGACAGGTGGGGCTCCTCTGCAAGGAACCTGTGTGTGACGGGTGGCGTCTGCTGGGGCACCGCAGGGCAGGAAGACTACGACAGGCTGCGCCCGCTGTCCTACTCAGACACCAACGTTGTCCTCATATGCTTCGATGTCACCAGCCGCAGCAGCTATGACAACATCCTAACGAAGGTAACGCAGCCCCGCAGCTGCTCCAACCCCACAAAGTGGACACGGAGCCAGGGCTGCTGCCCACCCCGCTGTCTGTCCCAACGTCTGTCCTTCTTCCTGTCACCTGCCTGTCCCATCCCACTGCCAGTCTGTCTCTCTCTCTTTCTGTCCTGCACGTCCCTCTGCCTGTCCCACTCCCCATCTCCTTCCCGCAGTGGTACCCGGAGGTCAACCACTTCTGTAAAGGTGTGCCAGTGCTGCTGGTGGGCTGCAAGATCGACCTGCGGCAGGGCCACCACGAGTCTGTCACCTTCCAGGAGGTCAGTGCCACTGCCTGCCGCGGGAGGGACGCATTCCACGTCCTCCCCCAAGGCTCAGCACCGCTGCCTGCAGGGGGAGGCCATGGCCCGGCAGGTGCAGGCTGCAGCCTACTTGGAGTGCTCAGCGCTGCACCGGGACAATGTCAGGGATGTCTTCATTGAGGCCTGCACCATCGCGCTCCGTGGCGCCCGTCGGCCCCGCCGCAAGAGGTGGCCCCGCAACGGCTGTGCGCTCTGCTGAGTCCCAGCACCATGAGGCTGGCAGGAGGGCAGCCCCGGTACACAGACCACTGGCACCCCCCCGGGGCTGGGAACTGACTTGGGGACCCCTGAGCCCTGCTGGACAGGAACGGATGTATCCCCACGCAGCACCGTTGTGGTGTGGTATTAAAATTCAGTGATCAGCGTGATGTGGTGTTTGTGGGCAGCGCCGGTGCACGGACGGGACGGGATGGGGATAGGCTGCGAATGGCAGCTCCACCCGAGCATGGATTACACTATACGTGTGTGCGCTCCAGCACGCACGCAAACAGAGGCGCAAACGGACGCGCGCACGGCCGGCCCCGGGGGCGCGCCCACCCGTAGAAACGTTCCCCGCGCGCATGCGCAGAGCCGTGCCCACGAGGAGGCGTGGCCAGCGCGCCGCCCCGGAGATACGGCCAGTAAGGCGCCCGCGGACGCGCGCATGCGCGCTCTCACCCCTTCTCTCCGGCGAGGCGGGGCTGGAGGAACCGGGCACGGGGCTGCGCACGCGCACGGCGTCGGCCGATGGAGGGGGCGGGGTGGGAGGGGGGCGCGGGGCGGCGCAGGCGCAGTGCGGCGGCCGAGGCAGTGTGTATGTGAGGCTCTGACGGGTTCAAAATGGCGGCGGCGGCTCCTGTGTGAGGAGGGGAAGCGCGTCCCGGGCGGGGAGCGGGCTGGCGGCTGACGGGAGGGAGCGGGCGGCGGGGAGCGGGAAGAGAGCTCGGCGGGCGGCGCGGGGGACGAGGAGGGGGCGAAGGAGGACGAGGAGGCGCCGGGCCGGAGCGGGCCGGGCGCGGGGCCCGCGGAGCGGTTGCGGGCCGGCGGCTGGCGGGGCTGTCAGCGGGGGCGCGGGGGGCGACGGGGCTGTGGGGCGGCGGCGGCGGCAGCGGCGGGGGGCCCGCGGCGCTCGGAGCCTGACTCGGGGCTTCTCCTCCGTCTGCTGTGTTCGTGCTGTGCCGGCGGCAGGAGAGGACAAAGGCGCAGGAGGGACCTGGTGAGCCACCGGCGGCGGGGCGGGGGGGTCCGGGGGCCGAAAGTTTGGGGGGCGGCGGGCGGCGGTGACAGCTCCGGGGGGTGACAGCCGCGGGCTGTGGGGAGCGGGGACGGAGCGAGGAGCGAGGACGGCTCGGCGGTCCGCTCGTCCCTTCCCGGGGAGCTCCAGGGGGCTGTGGGCTTTGCCGCTTTAGAAGCGGAGGTGGAGGCGCTGCCTGACACCGCTGCGTCACACGGGTCGGGGGCTGAATGTGGGAGTCCTCCGGGCTGGAGCTGCGCTGTGGGGGCTGTGCAAGGGGCTCGGTGCTCTGCTGCTGGCCTGGGATGCCCCCCGGGCCGGTGGCCGTGTCTTGGGGAGGAGCTGTTTCTGTAACACGCAGCCCTGTTCTGGGTGCACCCAGCTGCTCCCTCGGTGCCTATAGGTGATTAGCAGCAGGCACCCGGTCTGGTCCGTGGTGCCAGTGCCAGGAGGAGACCCACTGTGTCACACATCTGCTGCCTTACACAGCAGCCTGCGAAGTCACTCTTAAAGTTTGAGCGTTTGGGTTGGGGTGGGCTCGTCGCTGTGCTCATGTTCAGGAGGGAGAGAGGTGGGTGCTGCATGGCCCCATGCCCTGCCTCACTGCTTGCCTCTGATTTCCAAGGAGGAAGAGGACGACGACAGCAGCCCTGGAGTGTCCTTCTCACTTTCTTCGGAAGAGTCAGAGATGGAGCCCGAGGAAGAAAGGATCCGTTACAGCCAAAGATTAGTCAGTATTGGTCCTTACCAATCAAATTCTTGGTTCTACTCAGCTGAAGGATGAAACGGCTCTTACTGGCAATATATTTAAACAACCAAACAAGCATTGCGATGGATGGCTCCGGGTACTAGAGGCCCACTTTGTGGGTTTTGCCCTGGTGGAAGGCACTTCTCTGCTGAGAGGGCAGCTGGGGGATGGCACTGGGGTGTGATGCTCCTGGAAGGGGCTAGAAGAAGATACAGCATGAGTGTCTGTGTAGCTTCTGGCGCAGCAGGTTTCTTCCATGTGTTCATAACAACCAGGGAATCTGCAGTGATGTATGTGTCGGCCTGGACTTGATTTGAGTGTTTTGCAAAACTGGGGAAAACCAGCTTTGGCTTCAAGCTCTGATTTGCTTGTGCTCGTGTTTGTGCATGCATCTTGTGGTGCTTGTGTTCATACAGAGTTGTTCTAAGACTTCGGTTCTGGTTGCAGTGCAAGGGGCTGTTGCTCCATCACCAGCAAGTTGATCTCCTGTTGTTTTGAGGCAGTTTTAAGTCCTATGGGAAGCTCAAGCACCAGTTGTCTGTGATAGCTGAGGCTGTGATAGGGTTTGTCTGTGAGTCAGCACAGCACATGCATCCTCTCCTTCAAGGTGCTGTCTGTGAAGTTAAATCCTTATCCTTTAATGCTCTGACACTACTGAGTATGAGGCAGTGCAGCACTCCGCGTTAAGCTCTGCCCTCAGACACAAGTCACTGTTGCTCCTCTGCTGCTGTGTGCCTGACCACAGGTGCTGAGACAGAAGTCTTTAGAGGACAGAAGCAATTGTTTCAGCCCGTGTGGTGGGAGAGTGGTGCACAGGCACCTGTGGCTTCTCTGCAGCCCTGCTTTGCTTGAGGTCTGCTCCTTTTGGAGTTGGTTCTTTCCAGTCCCTTGGGTGGCTTTAATTTGGTAATGCTGCCAAAAGCTGTGGTCCTGCCTTATCCTGATGCACTTCTTTCTTTCCGTGACGGTGGCAAGCAGCTCAAGGTGCTGAAGGCAACCACTTGTAGCCAGCATCATAGCTTCCTTTGGGGAAGGGCTTTGGGTTCTGTTAAACTATGATCGTAGCTGTGCACTGGCCCTGCTGAAGTAACTCAAAACAGCAGGACAAAAACAAGGCTATTGAATGGTACTAGCAGCCAGGAGTTCACTTCAAAAAAAAATGCTTTGAGCTCACAAAAACTGCAGGAAGAGTTGCTGTCTGAATGTACCCAGCCCAAACTCTAGCAAACGCACTAAGCTGGATCAGTGGCTGCACGCTGATGAGCTGCATGTTTAAGGGGCTTGGGAAAGCACATGGGCAGCAAGCAGAGGATGAGGGTCACCTCAGCTCCTATGGCTTCGTGCTGTCCCTCCTGGCCTGCAGCCCAGAGGAAGTATGGCCCCAGTGAGGTGCAGTTTATGCTTTGCTCTTTGTGGAAGCCTCCTGCTCGCTGTGCTTCAGTGGAGCTTCCATGTTGGAGGACCTTGCAGATGTCCTTGGTTTTCTTTTCCTAGATGCATTCTCTCAACTTTTTATCCAACTCTGGTTATGGATTATTTGAATATCGTATTCTTGACATACATGTTGATCTTGGGAGTTGGTTTCCATGTGTCTGCATTAAAACTCTTAGATGGGGAAACAGGTAGTTGGTAGTACAGTTACATCTGTGCTGCTGTGAATGGCATTTGTCTTGTTTGTGACTGGCAGCAACAGAGGAATAAATATACTTTTAAAGCTACATCCAAGTGTGGCAGCAGTCCTGCTGGGCAAGCATCCTGGATCAGAATAGTTGATAGTGGTGAAGAGGCTGGGTTAATTGCATTGGCACAATGCTGCGTGTGGTCTGTCAATGGGAGATTGCTGCCCAGTGTGCCATGAGCTGCACTGACTGCACCTCTCAGTGCATCACCCCAGTCTTGAAACTTGACTGGTTTCCTTTGGGGTGTAGAGAGTTTCAAGCATCTTGTTTTTAGTGAACCATGCTCTATGTTTTTAGTTACTGTACTCTTATTCAACCGAAATCTGATGTATGTTGATTCTTTTTTTTGAACAGATCTGTTGGTGGAAGATGTGAAATTTGTCTGTTTGTCTCTGCTCCACAGTGCTGTAATGAGGCAGTATGGCGGGACAGGCTTGAGGTGCTGGCTCTGTAAGCTGGAGACGGATGTTTATAACGCTTCATGAAGGGGCTGAAACACCGTGTTGTGTCCTGAGGCAGGGATGGTAGAACAGCCTTGGCACTGATAATGCCGCAGTCCCTCTGTGAGACCTGAGAGTGCAGCCTGTGCATGGCGAAGCTGGGCACATGCTGGAGCCAGAGCTTGTTGGAGGCAGGAGTGAGAGATGGCCACCACCTCAAGGACCAGTCCTGCCTGCTGGGGTCTGTAACGCTGCCAGGTCAGCAGTTGTTATCTCAGGCATGGTTCCAGGTAGGACAGCGGCCTGACAAAGCCTCCATCTGCATTTGCCTCAGAGGCTGGTGTCCCAGAGCTGAATGCTGCTTCAGGGGACGCAGGATCGCACCCTAGGTAAAAGCCATCAGGAGGGCATCACATCCACATGGCTGGCTCGCCTCCACCTCCAGCAAACCCGGTGAGACTGGAGAGGTGGCAGGCCACAGCGGGGAGACTGGGTGGGGTGGGAACCTCCTCAACCAGCTCTGCTGCTGGAGAGAGCCTGCAGTGCAGCCACACCCTCCACCAGTGTTCACTGGGCTCTGGAGTGAAGCTGTGTGCTGTCTGGGCCCTGGTGCCTGTCCGTGGCTGCTTGGTGGCACTTCATGACAGCTACTGAAGACTGGTGACAGATGATTGGGCTGCTGGAGGATGAGAGCCAAGCTACTTGCTGTAGGTGCTGGAGCATGCCAGGGTTGTGTGGAACACTCTGCCCATTGCTTGGTGCAGCCTGTGTCCTGCCTTAGCATTGCTGTGCCCTGTGATTGGAGCTTTTTGTGAGATTAGAGACAAGGCCTGTCCCTAGCAGCCAGAACCTGAGGCTTCTCCTGTAAGCAGCAGTCACAGGCCTGTCCTTAACTGTCAGTGTCTGTGCTGCCCTGGATGGTAGTTCACATGAACAATATGTGGAATCATCAGCTGATGATGGTAGAGGTGGGGCTTGGGTGTGCTGTGAGCATGCCGGGGTGCACAGTGTCTGTGTGTGGTGGCAACGAGGCTGGCTCTCAGCCTGTGGTTTACAAGTTGTCTGTATTGGTGCTGCCAATGGGGGGAGGGAGGGGTGAAGCCAAGCGCAGGACAGAGC